ACAGTACCGTCTTTTGATCCTTTGAGGACATGGATGGCGAGTCGAAAGGTGATCAAATCGGGGTTTCCTTTTTCTTCACCCACTTCCCCTTCCTCTACATTTTCTCCCTGTTCCACTTCTTCCATTCGCACCTTCTTCTTCTTCATTTCCTTCCTTTTCTTCCTCATCCTCCTCTTCTGCAAGGAACACTTCATCAGAGTCGGCCAGCTCATCGTCCGGCACAGGTGGATGTTGTTCCTGAGGAAGAAGCCAGGTATACGTGCCAACAAGGATGTATTTTGCCATGTCCTTTCCATCTTGAGCGACAGGATATGGACCGGCAGTATCCAATGACAAAGTCGCCGCGAGAGGGTGGGTGACCCTTCGATGAGGTCGAGACTTAGCACTTTGTTCTTGGCGTGCGCGACAGTCCCTTCTGAACGGCGCGTGTCCATTTTGACAGTGCTGCTCCCATGTCATCTTTTTCAACTTCATATCCTCCTCCACACTTCCATTGATGTGAAGAGCACAGGCTTCCGCAATAGAACGACATGATGGAACTTTTTGACCTTCATTTCGACCTTCTGATCCAGGATTCCTTCCTTTTGGTAAGCGGAGCTCGAGGTTGGCTGCCAATGTTGTAGGCTTCACCGGAGCATCCTCCTTCCAAGGTTCATAGTCTCCTTGATTCAGGTTGCGCACTTGTAGATGAGCTGCGCCCTGAAGATTCTTCCATTGCTCGGTGCTCCAAAAGGAGACACAAGAGGGCATGTAGTCCTTGGGGTCGGATGGTTGTTCGAGCAGGAACATCATCACTTCATCCTTTTTCTTCTTTTCTTCACCTTCCTTCATCGAATCCTTCAGCTTAACAGCCATATCCGCAACCAGGAAGATGAAGATCTGGCGCCGCATCAAAACATCATCCTCCTGACGCATCGCCACCTCTGCAGGGCTGTAGGAACTGATGCCCCAGGGTTCTTCCCAAGGTCTCACCGGTCGGGGACCTCCAGGGTAATGCCGTAACACAGATCGAGTACGGCAATTAATTGGGCCCTCCAATCACCGCCGCCAAATCCCCGTCAAGCGCCAGACGAAGCAAACCCTTGTAGGCCTTCGAATCCAGGGATGCCATATCATGATCTTCACCCCGTTGTAGGTCTACCTCCAAGGTGCGGCTTCCCAAGCCATGTTCTTCCATAGCCTTTTGCAGGGTAAAACCTTCACGTTTCCCCGCATAAAGATGTAGCGCAACTGACCCAGCTGCTTTCGACCGTTTTCGTTGATGCCGATTGGCAGGAAGGTCCTTCCACTCCCCGATTGTTGAACCAAAGCCTCCTGCACATGTACACAGGAAGTTCAGCGAGGGCAGGATGGCCTTCTACCTGGGGCTGCGTTTCACCAACCAGGCGAGCCTGTTTGACTTCTTGGGTGCGCTCTTCATACTCCTTGATGAGCTCGAGGGCAAGCTGCTTGGGATTCTGTGGACATCCTGCCTGAATGCTGATAGGCAAAGACCCCTTCGTAGGACGGGAGACTTTCACGCCATGCTTTTTCCATGAAATTTTGCATCCTCCAACAGCCAACATTCCCAGGGGTACTATGGGGTCCACCTCTAAGTTCGTCGAGACCATCGCCCCCGACTCTGTCATCAAGAGAGGCGTAGTGCGACCATCAGCAAGGGACACTGAGACTTCGCTGTCCGTGGAGGCAAGAGGCCTCAAGGGATGGGTCGCGCCTGAATCCAAAAGCCCCCATTCTTCATCTTGTGGAGACCCAATCCTCGCTTCTCGAACTCAAAGTCTTGATGCTTTTCTTGATCTCATAAGCTGCTGATGCAGACGGCTCAGCTTGGCCTCAGAGGCCTCCTTATCCTTCATCGCCTTGAGCATCCGGTTGGCTTCAGTGAGAAGCTCATCCATCTTTTCATTATCCTGAACTCCACCTCCTTTTCCTCCTTCCTCGCCTTGTGGATCCTTCTCTTCTTCTTTTTCTTTCTTAACCTTCGGTGGCGAGTTCGGAGCGGTTCCACCTGATGCTTCCTTCGTGGGACAGGTAGGAGCCAGATGCTTTGTGGAGCCACATAGATAGCACCTTTTGTGTTCATCCTTTTGATCATGCGACCACTTGCAGTCGCGTCCACGACGACATCCGGCCTCGCTGAGGAAGAACTTGCACGGTGCCTTCACTTCCATCTCCTTCAACTTACCTTCACTTCCTTTGGTCCTTTTGGTGACTTCCTCAATCCTTTTCACCTTACTTTTTGCCTTCTTCGTAGTTCCCCCACTTCGCTTCTCAGCCAGGGAGAGCTGTTCGATCTCAGCAATGAGATGAGTGGCAAACTGGCTGACAGAGAGGGCATTGGGGTGGGTGTCAACCTGAAGAGCATTCCGAGCAAGCGACGCCCGGAAACGTAGAGGCTTTCATTGCCATCCAAGACTCGCTTTGTCAAGCGATTCAGGCCCTTGACCAGGATGGACGGGTCGGGTTCTTCTTGAGCCCTTGCACGCCAGCGAAGCCCTCGACGAAGGCCAACAACAGTATCGCGTAGATTTCCTGGCTCTGTTGGATCTTCAAGGTTGCGCAGGAGCATCTGTTTTTCACTGATGCCACCCGGGCAGTAGGTGACATGGAGATGGGCGAGGATGGCGAAGACTGACAACCTTTTGGTAACCACCAGTTCATCGTTCTGAACTTCTGGAATTGCCTTCAGCAACAGGGTGGCCATTCGCCGTTCCAGCTTCGCCCACTTCGGAACACTGAGTGATGTTGGAGGCACAGGTTCGTGTTTGACCTGATCCACAGGGGCCATCGCTTGGTGATCTTGGTACCACTTCTCCACTTCAGTCATCATACGATCCCACCATATGTCAGAGGTGGTAGTCAGGTCAGCCACCACAGGCTGAACCAGGAGCAGCCAATCACCAAGCTGCAGCTGAGATGTGGAACCATGTAGAGGATGTAGAGCTGGAAGTTCAGCGACCTGACGGGTTCCTTGAGCTTCTTGTCCGTCCGAAATCTGTCATTGAAGGGACTTCACGCTTTCGACCAAAAGTGTCATCACCTCCATCTGGGACCCTTCATTTCTCCCTTCCCATACGAAGGACTTCGACCCTTCCGTTGTTGTTCCTTGGAGCGGGATCGGGAGCCCCTCATAGCGAGCAGGGTAAGTTGACCAGGGTGTGCGTCCTCTGGCTTGTAGGTCATCAACTCCCGGAACCCCATTTGGTCCACCGGAAGCGCTTCTTGGCCTTTCAACCTCTTCCTTATCTTTTTTCCTTTTTGCTTCAGCCTCCAACCTTTTTCTATCTTCATCTTCAATTCTCCATTCATAGAGTTCTTGTTGAAGGCGATCGTTCTCACGTTGTTGGGCGTGGCAAAGATCAGTGAGACGTTGCATGTCCTGGGAGATCTGCCAGCACCACATGATGTCTTCCTCTTTTTCTTCTCGTTCTTGTTCTTGGCGAATCCTTCGCTTCTATACCCTTCTTTCTTACCCCCTTTCTTTCCTTCCCTTCTTTCTTCTTCTTCTTCCAGGAAGGCCGGGCGGGCCGGGCGAGACACCTGAGCAGGTCGATCATCACCAGATGAAGAGGGCATGAGTCTGGGGCGAAGAGTTGAGGCGCACGTCGAGCAGATGCCTTAGCTTCTCAAATCTGCTCCTGGGTGAACAAGGGCTGCGTGACCTGCGGTGCTGGTGGTATCAAGGGAGCCAATGCGGCGGGCTTTCCCCTTGGAGCTTCAACCACACTTTCTTTTGATCCACCACTCTTAAACACCTCCATTTCAGTCTTCCCTGTTCCTGTGTTTCCCAGCCCTGTCGTCGAACGAGCCGGGGTGCTAAATTCTTTCTTTTCTTCTTCTTTCTTTTCATCACCATCCAAAGCCGCAGCTTCTTGCTTCACCACCAGCTCTTCGCTTCGAGGTTCTTCAGCAGGCGGTGGCAAGGCCAGGCAACCATCATCGTGCTCCATGGTTCGTCGCCGTCGGAGCATGGAAGGGTGAGGTAAAGAAGAAAGTTCTGGCGTTGGGCTCATAACCTGTTGGTGTTGGGACATGATCGTGTTCCCTTGGGTTTAACAAGCTGCAAAACAACCGAACCTTCAACGCTACAAACGCTTCCTTTCTTCTGGTGACCTTCGGTCTCGTCGTGACCGAATGAGGTCTTGATGAGGTGATCACACCTCATGGAAAAGGGCTGCGGCGTTCACAGCACCTCAAAAAAGCGTGTCATCCTTGCTCAGGGGCCATGCATCAACAGGTTTAAAATATTTTTTGCACTTTTAAAGTGAACAAATAAGATTTTATAAGCTTCAAATAAGAATAAAGATGATTCAAATGTGATTCAATGCAATTTTAGTTTTCTTGTAAACAAGGGTGACCTGGAGAAGGGTTCAACTTTGATTTGGGGAAAATGCTACATGGCCAACGGAAAAGAGTGGACACCAGCAGTGACAGACCCGGGCGACAAAAGAAAAGAGTTGAGAACCCCTAACACTAAACTGTTTGGTGAAAAAACGATTCTGCGCATGTCTTCTCTTAGCGCGTCTCCATGTTGGTTCATTTTTCGCCAAAGATTCTTTACATTTTTCCGAGTTCTCTCTGACACCGTCGACGGGTTCGGAATGTTCTTTGAACACGTCGACGGCTGTCCAACTGTTGGCATGTTCTCTGTGGTGCGGGCAAGGAGTGGTTCTGGCCGGGTTGGTAAGTGACCTCTAGATTCTAGATCCATCAGAGATGATGAAGAGACTTGTTTGTTTTTACGACCTCGCAGTCTTTTGTTTGACAAGACTGTTTTTGCCAAATGATTCGGTGGATCCTCTTCCACTGCAGGGCTTTGCGGCGCTTGGATTGTTGTGGACTCACACCGTTTTGGGCTGTTCGTTTGTCTCGTTCGTTTTGTGTCTCTTCTTCTTATTGGCCTGGGTGTTTGTCTGCCTTTGTGTCACCGGCTGGTGGCAAAGCGCTGAAATGGAAAATCGTGGCTGAAACTGTGGAGATTTTGAAGCGAATCTCTCCAGGGCCTCGAGGCTGCTGAGTTGTACCGGAAAGCGTCTGAGGTGGGAGAAGTTGAGTTGAGCGAAGGAGAAAGAAAAAGGAGGAAAGAAACGAGAAAAGAACAGAAAAGGCTTTTGAAGTGAGCTTAAGTAGCGTAGGTTGAGTTGCAAAGTAGGAAACTATGCTTGGGAAGGGTTCAGGCTGGGGGCGCGGGAGTGAAAGAACCGCGTACGCCGAAGGCGGAGCTAGCACCACTTTTTGAGCCTTGATACGATAGACAGTCACACACCAGCTATAAAGACGTCTTAGTTTGGAATTCGTCAGAAAAAAATTTTTCCTTGGCGTATGCGGCTCACACAAGGACCTATAAAGGAATAGACGACCACAATCACAGAAAAGTTTGCTTAAATCCGCACCGCGCGTACACTGCGTCGAACTAATTGCCTTGCAGAACGCAAGGGAACAGTGTCTCGCGAAAAGTTGTTTGGCGAAGTAGTCTTGGCCGCAATCTACAGGTCTTTAAACACAAAGGAAACTCAGGGAGAGAAACCGGCAAAGTAGCTGCACGCGGACAAACTTATGCACATATACTTGCGCAATGAAACTACTTAATCGTTTATCTTGACAGATAGTGCGTTGGAGATAGACTCATTTCTAGCAGCTCTCCTAAAGTAAACCTTCATGATCAGCTACCTTGACAGGTGGTGCACCAGTGGATGATTCACCTGAGCAAAAATTCATTCATCAGCTTTGACAAACTGTACAAGTCTTGCCAGCCAAGGTCTAAACAGTTGAGCATGGAAAGGAAAGCGTCTCATGTGACCACGAGTACCCTTCCAGAATCCAGCTCTCACTTTGTTTCCTTAACCTTGAGCTATTGGGAGCAGAGGCCACTTGTCTTCCTGTGTGGAAACTGCTCACCTTGTGAGTGGCCTTTTTCACGAACCCATGGTTCGTCGGAACTTAAGGGTTTTCAGAAAGTTAAGCAGTGGACCACATTTGCGTGACGGAAATAGTGCTTTTGTGGACATCAATTTCCGTTTGGGATTACAGGAAACTTAACAATTTGCGGGCATCCTACAGGAAAGGATCCATCCAGGTGAGTCAAACGTGGCATATGTTTGCTCTGGACGGAGGGACTCACTACAATACTCTCAAGATAGACTTTCGACTTCCATGCAAACTTCACTGGATTCCTACTACCTATCAAATATATCTAAATCAGGGGAGTCTGAGTCCTATCTAACTCGGGCTTAAAGTGGAGTTCCGACGAACTCCGTCGAACTTGGCCTTAAAACTCTTAAATTTATTGTTTTTCAAGTTTTTGCTCGGGATAATTGGCTGTTGGTGTGGCCAAAAACACCTGAAAATAGCTCTGAACAAGCAAGTTTGGTGTATTTTCTAATGAAAATTGCACTTGCGCCTCTGTGTTTTCCCAAAGAAATTGGCTGCAAACAGCCCAAAGCTGCCCTCCGACGAACTCCGACGAATTAAGCTGGAATCAAAATATTTAAGCTGAAGTCAAAATGTTTAGGCTTTGGAGGCTGCAAATAGCAGTGTGCTTGCTGTTCTGAAATCATTCTAGGTGTTTGCGCTCTCCAATTGGCCAGTTCAATAGCCATCAAATCTTTACTACCAGGTACAATGAGAATTTCACTTGGGAAGTGGGAATATTCCCAAATACAATGGAACAGGTTGCCCAGTGGGCCGATTCGGAGGGGTAGACAGTGGAACGGATATATGTTCACATGTTAAGATATTTTAGAAATACTTTAGGATTTGAAACCATTTGAAGATCAGGTGTTTTATAAATGATGCTATGAAAACTGGGTTGGACCTTAACTTCTTGAAAAAGCTTAACCCCCGACCAACCCGTAGACTCCCGACCAACCCGTAGGACCCGTAGGTTCGTGAAAAAACCCACTTGTGAGAACGGTTTTCGGATCAGACTTGTTAAATCCGCCGAGAAGTCTGATCCGAAAAGTCGACTTCGGTAACGACGATACGGACGGTTCCTCTCCAACGAACGACCTCTGAATCAACATGATTGTTTAACTTGAGAAGTGCAAACTTCAAACTTCAGAGACGCATGTTCCTAGTAGCGAACATTGTTACTAGTAGCGATGCGCTTGTTCCTTGTAGCCTCTTGTTACTACTAGTAAGGCACTTGTTACTAGTAGCGATGCACTTGTTCCTAGTAGCTTCTTGTTACTACTA